AAAAGAAAAAAAAGCAAGGGTGTGGGGAGAGGTGAGGTGAGGGTGGAGAATGAACAGGGGCCTGGTGGGCTGAGGTAAAGATTTGTCTTTACAGAGGACACGGGCAGGACATGGTGGACCAAGAAAAGTCATTTCGAATGGTGCAAGAACACTCCTTCCAAACTGAGCTAGCAGGATGTCAGTAGGTATTTGATGTGGGAAGAGAGAGCAAACCTTTCAGTTTGGCTAGGCCTAAGAGTACTGAGAAAAGCAAAAGAAAGTAAAGAAAGATTTTGAGAGGAGCAATTGTGGAGGAGATTTGGGCATGGTCCAGGGGGTTAGGATCATCAGGGTAAGCCCAGAGCCTTGTGGAAGAAGCTCTTAAAGATTTGGGCTAGAAACCAGATTCTTCCCTTATCTTGTGCTGATTATTGAAATAAGGCAAAACAATCTGCCACAGTTAACACCTTTCTGCTCTAGGGGTGTTTCCTATGCCTGAGCCACAGTACTTTATATTTATGTGATTTTTGTGTTTTTCTGTGTCATTTTAATGTCCTGAAGTTCCTTCTAGATTGGCAATGCATCCCATGTTCCACTTAGTAAATATTACCACTTTTTATGTTTTGGGCAACATTTTAACATTTATCACTGAATCTTTATTTCCTTTTTGCGTCGTTTATTTTTGCAAAAGTAGTGATGACACTCATCACTTAATGCCTATAAAATTATGAATACATTTGGTCATAATAAGAATTGTCCCTGAAGTGTGTAAGCAGCTATTGGTGTGTGTGTGTGTGTGTGTGTGTGTGTGTGTGTGTGTGTGTGTGTGTGTATGCTTATGATAACGGTGCTTACATCATCTCAATAACCAGGGGCCCTGGGGACTCACGCTCAGAGATGGAACAGTTGGTTTAAATTAGGTTTCCATGTGAAATATGGTACCGCTATTTTTTTCCTAACATTGTGGGAAAGTATATGGAAAATGATTTGATTGATAGGAAATAAATCTGGGTGCATGATCAGGATTAAGGCACAAACCAAGTGGTGGTCTCTGCCTGCTGTGAAGCAGGCCCCTCCATGGGGAAGTGAGTTAACCCTTTCCTGACATTAGCCAGGATGGAGTAAGTAACTTAGATGAACACTAATGTCCAAGTACCAAAGTAACAGCAGCAGCAAAAGAGAGATTTAAACAGATGATTTGGAGGCTGCATATCATAAATGGGGGATGTAGATGTGGATAATTATTAAATATTATACTCCAGTCTGTGAAGTAGAAAAAATGAATCACGTTAGAATGACTTTAAGCCCAGAGCTGGAGAAAATTAGAGTTCATGTATATACATGAGGCATTTAGTGGGTGGTTAATAATGCAACCTCCGGACTACTACCACTCAATTCAGATCCATGCTTTGCCATCTATTGGTTGAGGACTGACTCTTAGGATTGTTGTGAAGAATAAATGAGGTAACATAGGTAAGGTGCTTAGAATGGTCTGTGGCGCATAGTAAGTGCTATGTATTTGCTCTTGTCACTGTCTTGTCATTTGAGGAGCATGATAGATAACACATTTGTGAAAGATTGTTCCAAAATATTTTACTGTACTTTTTCACTTGATATTATGTATTTTACTACTCGATAAATGTCTTTTTATGGGCTAATGCATTGATTGTATTTAATCTTTGTGTCTACCAATCAAATATATTTAAATCTAAATTATCTTTAGGCCTTATTTTTGTATAGTTTTATGGAATTGGATAGATCAAGGGGGATTTTATGACTTGCCCTTTTCAGCCTCCTTATTTTAAAGGAGAAGATGAAGAGATATAGAGAGATTAAGCAACTTTCCCAGAATCCCGTATCAAAGCAGTAGTGGAGCTAGAGTTTCACTTCTGATCTCTCGGCTGAGTCCTTCATGCCCTAATACCAAATTGTTTCTTTTTAAAAAGCCAAGAAGGTTTTTTGTGAAAAAATATTTGTCAAGCCCAGGACATACTTTTAGTGAATGCCCTTTCTGCATTTCACAGGTGAGCTCCTGGGTGACATGGCTGATCCTCACAGCAGGCTCCATGGAGGAGAAGCGGGAGGTCTTCTCATACTTGGTGCATGTGGCCAAATGCTGCTGGAACATGGGCAACTACAACGCCGTCATGGAGTTCTTGGCTGGCCTGAGGTATGGTCAGTAAGGAATATGGTTATCTGGGCACAGTTTCCTCTTACCAGCTGAATGGCACTGAGTTAATTGCCCCGGGAGCCACGTTTACCCAAGCCAGGCAATTGGTAGTGATTATTTTGGGAGATTTATTACCCTCTTCCAGTGCCACAAGCCCTGTCCCTTAAAGATGCTATAGAATTCAGCCCCTGTGGGCCAGTCACGATCGTACATGATCATGCTCTTGGCCAGACTGAGTGAAATTATCTGTTTGCATAACCCCATCAACCCTATCACCGACCCCTCTCTTCCTCTCCCTGCACCATAAACCCCGCTGTTATATCTCTCTTCCAGGCTGCACCTTGTGAATTCCCCATCACTGTAAGCTCCTGACCACCACCTGCCCTTAGTAATAACAGTGGCTGACATTGACAATTGGCATCCAGTAATGTTAGTTCTCATTGTTATTGTCTGCATTGGGCTAAGCACATTCCCTACATTATATACAACCTTTAATTCTCAAAACAGTTTTTTGAGGTAGGTACTATTATTATTCTCACAATATATAAAAGAGGAAACTAAAATTAAGAGAAGTTAAGCCATTCATGCAACGATACTGGAATGGCTGGGAAGACAGGCAACCTTGGTTTCCGAGCCCATGATCTTGACCACTATCATATCCTGCTCTTATCCATCAAGCTAATAACAAAATTGCCATCCTATCCATAAAGTCTCCCACCTTGTTCTTGTTCAGCCTCAGTCACCTGGCATAAAGTGACAGCCCTCATTCACATGGGAGGCACCATAGTGTGTGAGGAAGAAGGGCATGAGTGGTCAAGTCAGACTAACAGGGAATCAAGTCCTGGTTCCCCCACGGAATAGCTATGTAATCTAAGCAAGTTACTTGACCTCATTGAGCCTCAGTCTCTTCATCTGCAAAATGGGAATACTAAAAGGCACCTACCTCTTTAGATAGGAATCAGTGAGATAATATAAAGCAGTTAGTACATGTACGTGGCACATAGTAACTACATTCCACAGAGAGAAGCTGTTGTTGTTATTGATTCCTGAGATTCACCATCCCAGTGAGGGTTCTTACTGCAAATGAATCTTCATAAGATCATCAAGGTTTTTCTGTGATTCTTCAGGTCCTTACGTGGGGGTTCTGGGTTGGGGGAGGAGATGAAAATTCCCAGAGTCAGAAATTTTTTTTGTCCTTTTCAACTTTTTAAACTAAGAATAAACTCAGATGATCAAATCATTGGCATTTAAAATGGTTATACAAATGCACCAGGCGTGGCTCAAATAAGGAAAAAAATAGAAAAAATACTTGGAAAACAGGAGACTATATCCAGATGATTTTTATTCTGTTTGTGATAAATTTTCTACAAGGAACTTATGTTATGTTTCTTTTTAAAAAAGAATGATCAGGGCCGGCCCGGTGGCGCACTGGAGAGTGCGCCGCTTGGGAGCGTGTCGGCGCTCCTGCCGAGGGTTCGGATCCCATGTGGAGACCGGTTCCCGCTCACTGGCTGAGCGCGGTGCGGGCGCAACACTGAGGGTTGCAAGCCCATTGCCGGTCCCCGGTACGGGCGCGACACCGAGGGCTGCAATCCCGTTACCGGTCAGTAAAAAAGACAAAAAGGAAAAAAAAAAAAAGAATGATCATATGATAAAATGGTTCCATTTTAATGATGCTTATCATTCTGTGTTTGACTGGCAAGTTTGTGCTGGCTGTTGGCTGGTGACCTCATTTTCCATCCCCATGGATGTGACTGTCCTCACAGCATGGTGGCTGGCTCCTTCCAAAGTGAACAAGAGAGTGAGGCAGAAGCTGCCATGCTTTTCATGTCCTAGCCTCAGAGGTCGCTATCACGTCCACCATGTTGTACTTGTCACATAGGACCAGCACTGATTCACTGTGGGTGGGACCTACCCAAAGCCATAAACTAGGAGGTATGGATCACTGGAGGCCATCGTGGCAGCAACATAGCATGTCTAGATTCTCTTGACACAAGAAAGGCCTCAGACTGACCTGGAGGCCTAGAGTGAATTTGACTTTCAGATTCATCTTTGAATTCAAAATCCAAGAAGGCCACAGAGCCAGGTACCATTCTCTTAGACAAGCAATAACATCAAACCAGGCTAGACCTCAACACCAATCCCTGTGCATTCTGTCTGACACCCCAGACCCACTGTAACCAGTTTCACGTTCCTATGTTTGGCTTAAAACTAAACTGATCTGTACAGATAGACGGGCAAAAGTACCAGGTATGATAGCCATTTTGTTGGAACAGTGTCTACAGGAGATAAGTTGCCAGATGTTCTTATGATGGAGGGTTGTGGAGGCAAAGTTTGTGTGTGCACTTCTAGGCATGAAAGTGTGTAGATTTCAAGTAATTTAACTACATCAGGATAACTAGAGGCTTTTTATTTTTTATTTTTTTAAGCAATTGAATAGGAAGAAGGAGGATCCTTGTTAAATGACTCTGGTTTTCTACAGACGTTGTATGTTTTGCTTCTACTGAATTCTCAGCTCTTTTAAGGAAACAATTAGAAGCACAAAGATTTGCAGTCAAAGACATTTACTCAGTCATGGTCTGAATTTAAAATAATCCAAATGAACAGCAATAGGAAAATAGTTAAAGGAAATAATATGATATATCCAGATAATTGAATATAATTTATCCATCAAAAACAATGTTTATGAAAAATTTTTACATCATTGAAAGACTAACATATAAATAAAATTATATGGGTACAAAGCTGTCTATACTTAATAACTTCAGCAATGTTTACACACCCAGACAGATACAAACAAAATAAGTACTGGAAGAAAATATACCTAATGTTTTCTGTGTATGATAGAATTATAGCTGGTTTTTCTATATTTCTGGTATTTTCTATATAATCATGAAAAGAAATGAAGTTTTCAAAATAGTGTCAATTTTCAATCTAACAAAATAAATTGATCTTTGCTGAGATTTTCCCTTTGCTCCCAAGTGTACCGTGACTACTCTTACTCACACGAAGAGAGATCATTACATAATGAGAACCATGTCTCATTCATTCATTCACTCACTCCCCGCCCCCCCAAAAAAAGGATTTTTTTTAGCCTTATAAAAATTCAATTGCAGGACAAGCTAGACTTAGTGGGGTGAAATCAGAAAACAATTTTATTTTTCTAATTTCACTGCTTTTCAAACATGCCCAACTGACTCTCCCTCCCCTGACCCTGGATTATACATTGGAAGATCCTGTAGCTTATCCTGTCACTTTTGTGGTTAATAAGCAGTCTCATTCTCCTACACTCATGAATATGAATGAATCTCAGAAACATAATATTGTATTAAAAAGAGCAGGTTGCCTAAGAGTACCTACAGTGTGATGCCATTTAGGTAAAGTTTTAAAGTACACAATTCTATAACTTGCTTAGTGCTATATACACATGTTGGAAAAGGATAAAGAATTACAAGGGAAAGAGAACCCCAAAGTCCCAGTCGTGGCCTCTTCTGGTGAGGGAGAGTAGGGGTGTGCTCCTGGAGGGATCCTCTGGGGCCTCAACCACATTACTGAAGTTTGATTTTTTAACTGAGAGCTTGGCACATGGATGTTTGTCATGTTGCATTTCTTTATGTCTTTTGGATGTCTTATATGTTACATAATGATTTTTTAATCTGGTCTGATCTAAATCATAATTTCAATTTCTCATTCAATTTATAGTTTCTTCTCTTCCTTGCATTTCTCAGCCCCACCAGTCTCAGAAACTGGCAGTAGGGTGAGAAGACATGGTTTATCTTTTTTCTTCCTTTTCCTTCAACTCAGAGTCAGAAAGAGACAGGAAAGGAGAGATGAAAGTAAAGGGGATAAATGGAGCAAAAGGTCTGACTTGACAGGGACAGTCGTAACCTGGTCTTGGTGCCCTCATAGAGACTCCCCTATGCTGTAGGGACCTCCCACTGCACCATTACTTGGGAAATGCAGTGCACCCTAGTCAGCCGCTCAGTCCCCACTGTCCAAGGTCTAGCTCTGGAGGTCCTGCCCTCACAGGCTTTTTCTGTGAGAATCACCTCACTTGGCAGGCAGGCCTTTCAAGATAGCTCAGATCCATCCTCCTTCCACAGCATCCACTTCTGACTCGCAGGAAACACTTAGCACTTTGCCCTCCCAACTCTGCAAATGCAGGACATGTCCACTGGAAACTTCTCTCTCACTTTGTCATCAGGCAGCTCTAGCCAGCCTCTCATCTTTAGGCAAGAGTCACACACTAATCCATGTGATGGACACACTGCCCAGGACACAGGTCAGCACCTCCATGGAGTTCACTTGAAGCCCCCTTGGGGTGATTTTCCTTCTCACATATAGCCTTCCCATAACTTTCTCCAAAGAAATATTCCTGACCCGTCTGCTCAGATCCAGTTCCTCCGTGTGGACCAAAGGAGGTTGAGAGACCACTGAGGGCAGAGCAGTTGAGGAACCCCCTTGTGACAACCTGACACCTCTCTTTACGAGGTGGGACACAATGTCACCTGTTGTTCTCAGCAGCAATTTCCAAATAGGAAAAATCCCATTTAACATCCTGTTATGCAAATCATACTTTAATACAAGGTATCCCAAAATAGGCTGGTGACTTAATGTTAAAGACGGCTTCAGTGAAAAGCAATTCCACCAAAGAGGCCCAAACAATAGGCTTCATAAAGATCACTGCGGGACTGGCTTAAGAATAATACTTAAAAGCTCAAGAGGAGTGGATGGGCAGGTTTTCTGCAGGCAGTCCTCCATAAATATTTGTACAAACCATGTTACCCACTATGTTTCTCTTTTGGCTGTAGCTGCCAGAAAAGCTGAAACCTGCCTTCAGTGCCCATCTTCCACAATTCCCTCATTCCGTATGCTTGTTTTTGTTTGAATCTGTCCTATTTAATTTTGTGTTTCAATTTACAAAAGTGATGTTCATATCATTTGAGGAAGTAAGTGAAGATGGCAATCTTAAATAAATATTAACGGGTAAAGAACACTTTGAAGTTAAAACGAATGAATTTGTATGGAATTTAGGCTATTTACTATAAACTATATTCCTTCTCCTTCAGTCTAAAAAATGTCATTTACTTGCAACAGGTCAAGAAAAGTTTTAAAAATGTGGCAGTTTATGGCTCAGTCTGACATCGAGACCATGCGGAGCCTGAAGGATGCCATGGCTCAGCACGAGTCCTCCTGGGAGTACAGAAAGGCAGTGACCCGTGCCCTGCATGTCCCCGGCTGCAAGGTGGTTCCCTTCTGTGGGGTGTTTCTCAAGGAGCTCTGTGAAGTTCTTGATGGAACCTCTGGCCTCCTGAAGCTTTGCCCACGGTACAATTCCCAAGAGGAAACTTTAGAGGTGAGGCTTTTCAGAACCATCCTGATTAGGGCAGTCATTGTTGCCACCTGTCTCCTCAGGCCCTGTCGTCACCGAAGCAAGAAGAGATCGCTTATTGAACGTGGGTTAATAGTGTTTATGTTGTTTCTGTCTTTTCTCACCAAAGCAAGAAGTTATTGAACTTGGGTTAATAGTGTTTATGTTGTTTCTGGGTAGCAAGTAGTTTCTTGAAAGTTGTGGAGAAGAGAACGCCAGCCAGCACTGTTTAAGGCTTAATGTTGTTAAGTTAGGTTTAATGTGACAATGTGTAAGTACAAGTGGAAAAGGGAGGTGGTTTCTGATTTTTGTTAAAAGGTTGACAGGTTTTTCTTATTGAGTGGGAATGTTTTGGTGCAGGGGATGGAGAGTCAAGTGAGAGTAGTAGCTTTTCCAAATCCGTGGAAGACGCTGGGGAAGCTTTTGCCTCATCCAAAGATAAGCTGCAGGTTCCTGATCCCAGCTGTCTTGTTCCTGACTCCTGAAATGAAGAGGATGCGGTGAGCTTGGACTCAGGGCATTGAGCATTGGAGAGAAGGGAGCACTGAGAAAGTGGAAGGAAAAAAACAAGGAAACTACCTCTGAGCTGTTTAGAGTGAAAGAAGGGACTAAAATGGAAAGAGCCGTATGGAGATTTTGAGGAGTCCCTTACATGGAAGTCCCAAACCTAAATCTAGGGTCATTCTCACCATGATGATAGAACCTGCTACTGACATTTCTCACAACCCGCTGACCACCACACACACCCCTTCTCAGCGGGAATAAGAAGACTGTCCTCAAACTTCAGCCTCTTCTGTGTCCCTGGGAACAAAGGCATCACCTGGTGTCTGGGAGAGCCCCTGACAGGTGCAGGCAACATCACCGGCTTGCATCTCTCTGGTTTACGTGCTGGGATGTGAGTGCAAGGCATGGAGGAGAAGGCTTAAAGGCAGCCTCACAAGCTACGCTCAGAGGAAACTGCACAGCTCTTGGCCCAGCTTCAGCTGTCACCTCTGATGGGAGAAGCTTCCTGATCAAGAATACAGACAATAAGAGCTTAAAAGCCACTAGGAGCCACTGTGTTCCTGTAGGGTACGTGGGCAACCAAACAAAACATCACCTTGTCTCAGTGTTTTCCTTGGGCCCCAGTCATTTTATCTGGTTCCAGAGACTAGTATACTTTTTTCGTGGTTTTTCTCAATTCTCAGTGCAAGGATAAAATAACCCTGCCCTTCCTCTGTGAAGTAGCTAATCTTCTCCCCAGGGAGCCCTGAAATAATATTGCTTTTTGTGTTTTAAATTCGAAGTGGAGTGTTGATTCCTAGAGGGACTAAAGTTGTCTCAGTGGAAACAAGAGTGAGTTTTGATATTTCATGTGGTGAAATGAAAAAAATGTTTTTCCTGGAGGTTCTTGTTTTCTTTCCAATAAAATAGGCACAAATGCTGTTATTTATTACTATTATGATTTAGTTTCCTTAGCCAAGTAGGTTATTCAGATGTGTTATATTAAGTTGCAATAGCAAAGTCTCAATATATTTTTCTGTAGTTTGTAGCAGATTACAGGGGACAAGATAATTTCTTACAACGAGTGGGACAAAATGGCTTGAAGAATCCAGAGAAGGAGTCCACCGTTAACAGCATCTTTCAGATCATCAGGAGCTGCAGTCGAAGTCTGGAGACAGAGGAGGAGGACAGCCCCAGTGAAGGAAACAGCTCTAGGAAAAATTCATGGAAGGAGAAAACCCGATGGCAGTAAGTTTTACATTTTAAAACAGAGGGTGCTCATTTCTTTTTTCCTGTTGATTGGTCTTTTTCCTACTTCAGTTTGGTTTCACATGGACGTCTAATGAAAACCCACCACTTTTATCCTTAAGCCTTGCTTTCTTATCTTCAAGCATTGCCAGTTCTGAATTAAAATTTACCTTTCTCATTTCACTGCTTTGTTTTATAATTACTGCTCATAATTTAACTCCTTGCCATCTGCCATGCCTTTTTTAAGAAAAAACAACATAGGTTATCCTGCCATTTCTAAACATAAGCAAATTAAATTTTAGAATTAGAGCCATGGTCTTTTATTTGTTTCATAATTTCTGTAACAGTGGTTTTTATTAATCCCTGGGTGGGCTACTGGGGTGGGTATTAAAATATTTTTAAAACAAATATACGGATTCAGTAGGTCTGGGGTAATACCCAGAAATCAGTACTTTTAGCAGCTCCCCCCAAACTCTGGGTGATTTTGAGTCAGAGGGTTCAAGGATCTCACTTTGAGAATCACTGCTCGGTGAAGTGTTTTAAAGTTAGCCCTTCTCTTACAAGGCCTCTGCAGCTTTGTAATTGTTCATGTGTTCTAACTGCTTTTTATCAGCGGGCATTGCAGTCTAACCAGACATGCTTATCCACAACCAAATGGAAAGTACAGAAATCAGTGGTCTCAGGGCATCCCTCTCATTTCTTTAAGGCATTTTATTCATGGTCAAGCCTTACTTCAAATGGCAGAACCTGGCTCAGGTTTTAGAGCATCCGAAACTATTAGGCCTACTGACTTTGATATCTTTGCCGTGGAAGGTCTTATTTGTAGTCAGTACTCATGAGTCATGCATTGCAATTGTCTGGGAGTCCTTATATGTGTGTGAGTATGTTTGTAAGACATCGATGTGTGTTTTGCAGATCCTTTCCTGGTTGTGTGTGTTTGCGCACACGCACATGCACACATGGGAAGGATGACAGTGTTTTTAGAAAATTTCTTTGGAGTTGTAGTGCAAGATCCGTAGAATCAGTTGTGAACACAGAAATGAACATCTTGTGTCTGAATCCCTAATGCTATTATGTTTTAACAAAGTGAATCTAAATTCCATATTTCTCCAGAATCTTTGGGCTTTCTTCCAAACCCCACTTCCTACCTTATTTCCTCATAGAGGACCAGTGCTCATAGATTAACTGTTACACTGCTCTTATAATGTCTCAGGCCTAAAGTTCAAATGTCTCACAGGTATCTTCTACCAAATCTTTTGTTGTTGTTGTTGTTGTTGTTTTAAGTTTATCTCAAATCGGGAATCATTTGAAAGTTGTCTCACGAACAACTAACAGGTTGCTGACATTAGTGGCAGTCTATAGAGAGAGAGGAAACCCTCTACAGATAAGCGTGTCTGCACAGGAAGCATCTCATAGCCATTTAAGTCTTTAATCTCTATCTATCTCCACCTACTATTTCTCTATACTGTTATCAATTTATATATCTACCTCTTTCCACAAAAGATTTTGTAGATACCTATAAGAATAAATATGAATAATTGAGGATATTAAGGAAAAGGAAAATAAAAATAGAAAAAAATAAAACATGCAAAAATGTACACTATGCAGTCTGTACAGTGACTATTTTGTTCTGAGATTCTAGTGGCAAAAAGAAAGAGGGAATCACAATTCAAGTTTCACAGTATTCATGAGAAAAGTCAAACAGATGTTTGGAAGAAACATGCCTTTTCCTTACACTGAGATCTGCTGAAATTCCTTCCTTAAATCCTACTATTAAGAATACATCATTTAGGAATAGATAAAATAATGAATTTTATATGGTTCTTTTTTTATAGCTAACTTCATTTGTGGTTATATGTGCATTATTTAAAGATATCAACCTTTTCTTTTTGGTGGCTGATCAAACCCTGGACCTTGGTATTATCAGCACCACATTCTAACCAACTGAGCTAACTGGCCAAGCTAGAGATATCAACCTTTGTAAAACACCCTCCGGAGGGCTACCTTTGATTGAGAGAGACCTAGACGCTGAGCTTTCCTTTTCCCATCCTTTCCTTCCTCTGGGGTTTTTTCAAGTGATAAATTTCTTGCATCATTCCATTACCCGTTATGAATTTTTTATTTCCAATTTTCTTCTTATTCCCTTGTTCTCTTTCTAATAATTCTGTCATCTGCATCCTAAGAACATTTCTCTTCCCGTTTCCCTACAGTAAGCACTTTTAGAAGGTAGAAAAAAACCCCACAAAAATGCAAATACTTCTCTTACAAAACTTGTGAAGTCTGTTTGGAATTCTCACTTTGAAACTTCTGTACCTCAATACCACTAAAAGTTTCCTTGCCTCAAGTCACTGCTACTCTGAAAGGAACCACTGATCACACAAGATAGGGTATAGGGGAGTTTAATAAAACTCACTGGAACCAGATCAGCAAGCCCTGTTTCCATGACCGTCTGCTGGAACTTGGGAATCCATTCCTGATTTAGAGCCCTACCTAAAAGTGTCCAGGATTGTGTATGGCAAAGGTATTTGCAGATCCCAAAGCCCTGAGGAACTGTACTTTGTTGATCTGACTGAAACAAAGACTCTACAAACAATAACCTCCAGCCCATGTGCATGTGGGAGCCAATGACCCTGTGAAAATTACAGCAAAGAAAGAAGGGACAATCTCATGATCCTTAGGTTCCCCAACCTGCAGGGTGCTCTTACAGTTCTCAAACCTCTCAGCTACACCTGCCAGAAAATCCTCTAGAAGCAGTCACAGAAACCCCAGAAAGTGATCATGAAAAGTTCAAGTCCTCAGCAGGAAAAGAATAAGATTGAGAGAATCTCAAAACATCAGTGGGAGGTTAGGGTCCACTTGTGTAACTTCTATACAGATGAAGAAGTGATGCCCAGAGAGCCAAAGGCAAGGGCCTAAGTAATATAGCAGAGCTGGGGCATGGGCTTGACCATGTGTTCAGTCACAGGGCAGGAGCCCCTGTCCAGCAATGTTTTAGGCATTTCTCTTTATGTAGAAAAACACTTAGCTTTGTTTTTTTGTGTTTTTTGTTTGTTTGTTTTAATTTTTTTTCATTGTACATGTTTATGGGGTACACTGTATTGTTTCAATACACGTGTATATTGTACAACAATCTAATCAGAATAGTTAGTATATCTACCACCTAAACATTTATCATTTCTTTGTGGTTATAACAATCAAGATCCTCTTTTCTGGCTGACTTGTAATATGCAATATGATATTATTAGCTATTGTCACCCTAGAGCCCCAGAACTTATTCTGCCTGTCTAACTGTAACTTTTTGTAACTTTGTCCTGGTCTACCACCCTTTCCCTGGCTCCGCTCCCCATTCACTTACTCTGCCTCTGGTAACCACTATTCTAACTCTATTTCTCTCTCTTTTTAATTTATTTTTCTTAATTGATCCATGATAATTGCATATATTTATGGAGTACAATATGATAATCGGGTACATTCATACTGTGTGCAATGATCATATCAGGGTGCTTAGTGTGTCCATCACCTCAAACATTTGCCCCTTCTTTGTGTTAGGAACATTCCTATTGACTAGCTATTCAAAGGTACACAGTACTGTGTTGTTAACTGTAGTCTCCCTATGTTATTATAGAACCCTAGATCCCGTTCTTCCTACCTCTCTAAAATTTTGTATTCACTGACCACCCTGTGCCTTCCTCCCCTTTCCCTCACCAGTCTCTAGTACCCACTATTCCACTCTCTATTTCTATGAGATCAACTTTTTCAGCTCCCACATATCAGTGAGAACATGTGATATTTATCTCTCTGCACCTGCCTTATTTTACTTAACATAATTTTCTTCAAGCTTATCCATGTTGCTGCAAATGGTAAAATTTCGTTCTTTTTTTAATGGCTGAGATGTATTCCATTGTGTATATACACAACATTTTCTTTATCCAGTCATCTATGGAAGGACATTTAAGTTGGTTCCAACTCTTGGCTATTGTAAATAGAGCTGCGATAGACATGGGAGGTAGTTCAGGTGTTCCTTCGACTTATTGATTTCCATTCCTTTGGATATATGCCTGGTAGTGGGATTGCTGGGCCATATGATAGTTCTATCTGGAGTTGTTTGAGAAGTCTCCATACTGTTTTCCATAGTGGCTGTACTAATTTACATTTCCACCAACACTGTATGAGGGTTCCCCTTTCTCTGCATTCTTGCCAGCATTTGTTATTTTCTGTCTTTTTGATAATAGCCATTCTAACTGGGGTGAAATGATACCTCATTGTGGTTTTAATTTGCATTTCTCTGATGATTAGCAATGTTGAGCATTTTTTTCATATGCTTGTTGGCCATTTGTATATCTTCTTTCAAAAAATGTATATTCAGTTTCTTTGCCCATTTTTTAATAATCACATTATTTTTTTGCTATTGAGTTGTTTGAGTTCTTTGTATACTCTGGATATTAATCCCTTGTGGGATGCATAGTTTGCAAATATTTTCTCCCATTCTGTAGGCTGTCTTTTCACTCTGTTGATTGTTTCCTTTGTTGTGCAGAAGTTTTTTAGTTTGATATAATCCCGTTTGTTAATTTTTGCTTTTGTTTCCTGCCCTGTACTTCTGAAGAATTATTCATAAAGTATTTGCCCAGACCTATGTCCTGAAGTTTTTACCTTATGTTTTCTTCTAGAGGTTTTATAGCTACATTTAAGTCTTTAATCCATTTTGAGTTGGTTTTGGCATATGTTGAGAGATAGGGGTCTAGTTTCATTCTTCTGCATATAGATCTCCAATTTTCCCAGCACCATTTATTGAAGAGACTGTCCTTTCTCCAGTGTATATTCTTGGCTCCTTTGTCAAAAATCAGTTGGCTGTTGTTATGTGGATTTATTTCTGAATTCTCTATTCTGTTCCATTGGTCTGTGTGTTTGTTTTTGTACTGGTACCATGCTGTTTTGATTACTATAGCTTTGTATTATATTTTGAAGTTAGGGAATGTGATGCCCCCCACTTTATTCTTATTGCTC